GATTTAATATTATTAATAAGCTTTTTAATTTATTTTAAAAAATATGATGTATCAGAAGTGATGATACGACCTATATTTACTATACCTACATTTCTAAGTTTTATTTGTTTATTGAGTATTAAAATCCTTTGTCAATAACTTTTGAATAATTTGAATTTACACATTATACATGATCGTGCTGGTCCTGCGCAGCTACCCTAATTGCAAGCAACTAAACACGATTCGGATTTGTAATTTCCAACCGGTTCCGCTCTCTAACTAGGGATTCAAGCGAATTGCTGTAACTTACCGTAACTTGGTGTAACTACCTCTGTATATGTAGTAGCCAACAGCATTTTTGCAGTAACTTCATCATGTTACGGCAATTCTCCTGCATCACTACACTAAACCTATTTTAATATTTTATATAAATTTATTAATTGCTAAAGATTTGTTACATTAAATATCTATGTTCACAAATTGAAACTACTACATAGGTGCATCGCTATAATTAGCATAATAAAATTCAATATAATAATGTAATAAACCACGAAATAACGTCATTTTATTACTTTACATGCCTTGTCCGATTAGGGACGAAAATTTGGCACTGATACTTTCGTATCAGACATATAGCATATACATATGTCTTATTTCATTCCACATATTTCTTCTCATTTTAAACTTAGCTTAATGTTCCTTCTGACTGTAGTGAACCGTTACATAAAATTGTATGATGATTGTAATATATTCAGCAAATGTATCGATAGAAGTTGATAAAAATTTGAAAAGATAATCCCAGAAATATCAAATGATATAAACATAATGCTTAATGATTCGGAGACGTTCTATATCTAAATTTGAAGCAAATATCTAATTTCTTGGTGGTAGTACCTACTAAAACAAATAATATTTTAAATTCAGTTGGCTAATATATGTATATGCATATATGCATGGAAATTATAGAGCGTGAGTGCGTACTAATGTACATACATGCATATGTACGAATGAAATCTAATCGTTAAATTATTATAATTAATTCCTTATTTAATTTTTTGCCTGAAATGGCATTAATACTGCAACTGATATATATTTTAGTAGAAAAAAAGAATTTTTTAAAACAAAAAAGGAAAAGATTTCCGTTTGCTTGCCATTTCGAACTACACTTAATATTTAACGCCTTGCAGAAATCAATTTTTGTGCATAAAAATTTATAAATTTTTTAATTATATATTATATGAATTTAATTTTTGTTAAAGCAACTATAAAATATAAAAATTATTGGCCTTTTTAATCTATTGAGCAAAGCAACTAGATCTTTCAAAGAGAAATTATATGCCAAAATCTGAATCAATATTCAGAAAAAAAGATTACCGAGAATAAATTAGAGTTGGTAATTAAAAAAATATTCTCGGTGCGTGGAATAGAAAATTGATTGTATATAATTGTTGCATATTGATGCAGATTTATTATGTAAATATGTACCTCTTCAAATAAAACGATTTAGCACGAATCATTCATATTTATAAATATACATAAAAAGGGAGGTCACTCTTATATAATTTTGTATCTTATAAAAGTCAACCTGAAAGAAAATAATTATAAAGTGCCTTATACACTATAAACTATTCGAAACATAATAGTAGTAAAAATATGAATAAACGGGTTTTCATTTGGGCTTTGTGTGTTTTACTTTTCGTTATTGCTGTTACAGCTAGTTACAGCGAAGAGTCTTCAGAAACTGACGTATCAAATGAAAAGTCTTACGATTCATCGAGCGAAGAAGAGTCTTACGATTCATCAAGTGAAAAGTCTTATGATTCATCAAGTGAAGCCGATTTTTACGATTCATCAAGTGAAGACGATTCTTACGAAGATTCTCATGATTCATCAAGTGAAACATCTTACAATTCATCAAATGAAGAGTCTTCAGAATACCATTCATCATATAAAGATTCTGATAAACACGATTCACCAAATTACGAGTGTTCAAAATACGGTGATTCAAACAATGGAAATAGCTCTCAATGTCCTTGCTCTTCTGCCGAAGCAACGTTTAGTGGTAGAATTAGTGGTGTGATGCTTTTTATTCAGAAACCATGCGGTGGTACCGTCATAACAGGAGCATTCCGGGATGGATTCGTGGATCCTGGAAAGAATTGTTATACTTTCAAGATTCAAAGTGCTAATGGTGAACTTAGGGACATTACAAATGATCTGCACGTCAAATTTGTTAACGATGGAACCGAACCATTCAAAGTTAGGATTCCCAATCTTACTCTCAACTGCGATAAAAATGGTATTTTAGGTGGAAATGATCCAAGAAAGCGCGATTATTTGTGGAAACGTTCGCAAAACGCAACTCAAAACGCAACTATGTGTATCTTCGAAAATGGTAAAACCTGCGGGCAAGCTCCAATAAATTTACTTTAAAGTAAATAATTTTTTACTTTACTAAACTAAAATAGTTGGATAAAACATTGTTTTTATGAAACTCCTACTATCTTTTTAATAATATTGAAAGTTATAAATTACCATTTTTTAGTTTAATTCCATTTCACCTGTTTTTAACACCTATTATCAATTTGAAAGATTTTATAATAGTTTTCTAACAAAGTAAATCATTTATATCAGATTATAATTTGGGCGTCATCATTATTTTACAAAATTGTTAAATTTATTGTAACTATTAAATAGAATATCTAAACAATAATAATACTTTAATGCTATTATTGTTTTTGGGGAGCGGTGCAAAGTAATGTACAATTTAGTTTTATATATCGAATGGTTTAAATAAAATTATATAGAAAAAGAATGATCTCTTATATTAATTAAGTCGTTAAAGCGTGGTTTAGTAGTTACAAATATATTATTTAAGTGTGTTCATATATAGAAATTATATAATGATTGCATTTTGTATTTGTAAATTCCATCACATTATAAATTTTTTTAAAAAAGTAACCAAAATTATGCCAAAAAAAAGTGGTTAGTTACGGATTTCTGGATTAGTACGATAATCATTTTCGTTGCCTTCATGAATTTTGATAACGAATATTTTTAAATTTCATATTCTACAACTTTTGTTAAAAAAGGGAAAAAAAAATTTTATTAGAGTTGTAATTTTCAGACTAGTTTATCAGTAACTGATTGCATTTTAAAAAGTGATGAATTTCTTATTCACTACACAATTAAAAAGGTTAGCCCTTATAGGTATAGTTGGTGATAGAATTACTGAATTACGGCATTACCGGCATTCTACGTACCATATGTACCATATGGTACATCAAACGTTTCAGTATTACTTAATACGACCTGTTTCCAGCATAGCGGGCTTTAAATTTTATTGGATGATAAACCGGAATGTTACACAATATGTTTTACATATTAGCGTAACGTTTCGCATTACAAAAATGGATTGGCAGCCACTGATACCTAAAAAAATCGAAAGAATACCTTCTGGTCTATAAACTATCAAAGTAATTCGGTAATTCACGAAGTAATTCGGAAGTTAGATGAGAGGTATGTTTGAACGTTTAAGTTTAGCCTATAGGTATAATAAATCAATTAAACTCGACAATTTAAGCCGTCTTTATTTGTATAAACTTAGTTTTTGTAATCACAACTAATAAAGAAATTTGTCTATAATATAGGTTAATAATATGAAGTTGTGAGTCATAAGGCTAATAAATTTCATGAGAAGAGTTAAAGTAAAATGCTGTAGTGGTACTATAACTGTATAACGTTTATTAAATAAAATTAGTTTGATATTAGAGCTAGCATTAAAAATTATTTTTGATAATTTTTGTTAGTTATTAGCGTTCTAGAATAGGTTTATATATTTATTTTTTGTACATATTTTTTTATTTGGTTCACCTTTTTTCTTTGATTCGTACGTAGTACGTTAGGGTCCTTTAATAAAATTTTGGTTTTCCAGAGTTTTGTCTGGTTTTGTCTGTTACAAAATTATAGTTTAGGTTTAAATTATCAAGATTTTGTGGTAATGATTTCTAACAGTATTACTTTAATTGCAGATATAATTATTTTTTCGCATATTAATTTTTTTTGCTCCTTAAATCGTAGAAAATTTTCGATTAACCAATAAAACTTTTACAATATCACGGGATGATCTACAAAAATCAGCCAATCACAATGAAATCCCGCTATGCCTTTGTTTTGGTTCGTATTTCTGTATTTATAATTACGGCAATTACGGCAAAAAATATGGCACGTGCCGTAATTCGATAATTTTCAAAATTAATTCTAAATAATATGCAACAGATAAATGAGATTAAATTGTAAACCAGTCGATTAAATGATTAAAATAATAATATTAAATCATTGATCGCAAAATGTGATACTACGTATTTATTTATTGACGCAAGGTATGTATGTATATCTGATAAATATTATTATTAATAAGAAAAACCAAATTATTATGGTTTTACATTATGAGCATTTATACGTGAATATGTGACATGGTTTCCAAGAGGGATTACATAGGTAGAGAATCAATAATCGAAATACATAGTAAGAGAAGAACGCAGTAATTATAAAGATGAAAACGCATGCCAAGAATATTAAGAGTAAATTTTCTGCAATAATAAAGAATTTAACTTCGAAAACAAGAAGGTATTAGCAAAGGTGGGTTAGTCTTGGCGAAAAATGTCACGTAGTGAATCTGTGACAGGTTATGTCGAGTACCAAATCGAAAGTGTACAAATAACAGAGTTTAGCACAGTTTTTAATTACTTGATATTTGATATTTATATGTAATTTTGTAACTAAAATTTCGTTCTGAAAACTTTTATCTAGAAGTCAAACAACAGTCACGGCGTTATCACCAATTGAGGGCGTAATCACGTGATATCCAGACCTTACAATTTGATTTCAAAATTTTTATTTAATTTTTACTTTTCGTGCGCTTTTTTTATTAATAATATTTTTTTTTGAATATGTCGCAAAATGACAATTTCCAGAGAGCCAAGAATTAATGTTACAAAGGTATTTCAAAAAAATAAAAGTATTGTTGTATTCGTCAAAATTAATTTTCTGGAAACTGTGCACTTAAAAATAACGCCCGAGCATAATTTAGCAACAATATTATAAGCTTTTATTAAAGGGAAGGCTTTCTTAATTATTATATAAGGGACAGTCCGGTTATCATTAGTTCAGAATAAGTCGTTAGACATATTCTAAACTTAATTACTAAATAATAATCGCAAACCGATTTAAAATGAATTATAAACTCGAATTAAATTATTCGAATTATTGAATATACAAAAACTATATTTTTAAATACAACCAATATAAGTTTAACATTTCACGATCATTATGTTTAGGATTTATTATAAAAAAGTTTGTTACAGCAAGCTTTGGCTGTAATTGGATTTATAACTAATCTGAATTCATAAACCAAATTAGCACAAATAATAATTAATGGAAGCTATAAAGGCTGTAGAATTTGAAAACAAACTACTCAACTATATAAATTTAAAATTTCACGTTTGTTATTTCCAAGGATCATTATAAAGAAGGTCGTTATACTAAGCTTCGGGTTTATAAACGATTCTATATTTATGAACCAAATTGACACAAATAAATAAATAATTCGATAGAGGCTATAAAAGATTGTAGAATTTAAAATACACTCACACGTTAAATAATGAAAGAACCAGTCTGCCCAAATACAGTTCATTCTTGTTTGTAAACTCTTGACATAATTAAGAGTTTTGAATTACAGAATTATTAAATATCAACAGGATTTAAAGTATATTTAGTATTTTCTTAATATAAGTTACAGTGAAGATTTTTGTTTCAGCTTGAAGATTTCATTATAATGTGGGTAAGTTGTAATAATTTGTTAATCATGTTTTCTTGTATTTCTACTGTCATAGGCAAAACATAATGCCAGCCAACTCAAGATGTATGACAATCCACCTGAAACAATTGTGCTAGGCTCTGATTAAGATTATATAATTGAAGCACCAAGCCTTAGCATAGAGATCATCACCTATCTAATAAGGAAAAGTCAATTAAGACTTACTTGTTTGCATTGTAATATCTGGAAATGGATGTAGTTTAATATTATCTTATTAAGATAAGTGTGAGGCAGTGGTAAAAGGAGCGTGATTATGATAATAATATTGTAATTTTAATATAAAAAAGGTGATGCTAAAATATTTCTCTTTTGTTCTATTTCGATTGTGAAAAATAATAAAATGATGAAAGGTAATATATAAAAATATAAAAAATTAATATAAATAAGACAAAGTAAATTGAAAATTCAATAAAAATGAAGAAAGGTTACAGTTTTATATATATATATTTTTTTTTTCAGTATTAAGGTGACCTCTTTGGTCTGAGCTTTTTATTAATACTTATAGCGGGTACATGTTTTATATAGATATATCTATAATGAACTATTAGATGAGTGTACAACTGGCTATACGTATAACTTTTCTATATTACCTATTTAAGGAGTCCACCCGAGGATTCTCCACCAGTTGCCATATCTAACACCTCTGCTTAGGTGTTCCATTTAAACCCTCTGATCTAATTCTAGTATTAATTTCACCAGATCATAGACTCAGATCTATTCGCAATCAACTATAGGACTATAATCCTTAGACTATTTTTATTCTCGAGCTAAACCTACCAGAGTGAGCTGTATTCCCTTTTACTGCTAACCTGATTTGATGTTATAGCTGAGGTCAACACTTGCAGTCAGGGTTGCCTCTTAAACTGCTATTACCCTTGTAAAGTTCACCCAAACCCTGGTACTTATCTTTCTAATTTCTTCTCTATCATCCCCTACTAGCCACAACTCAGAACTAACTGACACCCAGACTTCCAATCCAGATAGTCTGGTATGGTATACTTATATATCCTTTTTCTCCAGTGATTCCAGCAGCCTGGTTGGTCATGTGCTCCTCTATACATCTTTGTCATTCAGTTTATCCAACAGTTCCTATGAAGGTGTTTCATAGGCTTCCATCAGTCCAATGGTACCATCAAGAGTTTGTGCTACCTTTTTACTCAGAATTTTCAAGTGAGTTTCTGTCTCTTCGGTTTCTTAGCCTTTTACACTTGGTGGTCTTATCATGGGTTTGCCTGAAGCCTTATATGACACCAGTTTTACATTCCTCTATGTACATGTACTATGTAATATTACACTTCACATAAATGCCCCAAGCTCCCAATGTCAGGTGGGACCCAACTTGGTGTACTTAAGATTACAGATGTCCAAAACCCAACCGATTGGCAAGAGACAGTTACTGTAATACAGATATAATTTCCAAAATTTGTCATCTGTAGGAATTGAACCTTAGACCTGCCACTTAAGGGTTGACAACCTATCAACCAACATATGAGATGCTTCAAAACAAAATTAAAAACTTTCTTGCTCTAATTAAATTCAAAAAACTCACATCTAA